TTTTAATGAACATCACGAGTCTTTACGTTGATATTTCTCGATTGAATCAATCGTTAACGGCGTCAAGAGTGAAATTGGTTAAGAAGTGCTACCGTTTCTCTGCGACTCCTTCAGCTAGTGTAGACACTGTGGTTAGGTGTTGTCAGGCATGGCTTCGAGAAGGCCGTACGCAAAGAGCAAGGGGCACTGGACGCCGCCGTAGAACAACAGACCGTGAAGATCGCCGCCTAAGATTATTGGCCTTAAGGGACCGTTTCTCCACTACCAGGTCCATTGCAAATGAATGGTTTGCAGAACACAGAAGACCTATTGGCATGCGCAGTGTTTACCGACGAATGAGAAGTTTTAGCTTGTTTTTATACCGGCCACACTGGGTCCTCCCTTTAACTCGAGAACACCGACGTAATCGCCTTGAGTGGTGCAGACAACGGTCACTCTGTGATCAGGAATGGAACAGTATTGTCTTTAGTGACGAGTCTCGATTTTGTTTAGGCATGCACGATGGTCGTGCCAGGGTTAGAAGGCGACGTGGTGAAAGGAGGAATCCACAGTTTTTTGTTGAAAGACTGTTGGAGTTATGGTTTGGGGTGCTATAGCTTATCGTTCCAGGTCACCTTTAATCTTCATCAGAGGTAACATGAACGCGCAGCGTTATATCCACGAAGTTCTAGAACCCCATCTTTTGCCCTATCTTGACACCCGGGCAGATCCAACTTTCCAACAAGGTAATGCCCGACCACATGTTGCAAGAGTCACAATAGACTTCTTTCAACATAATGATGTCACATTGTTACCATGGCCACCAAGATCTCCCCACTTATCCCCAATTGAGCACGTGTGGGATATGATGGGTAGGAGATTGCTCAATTTGCAACGTCCTCCTCAGACTCTAGAAGCACTTCGAGAGGAGTTGGTGGTTGCCTGGAATGAGATAGCACAGGAGGACATTGACCACCTGATCAGAAGCATGCCTAGGCGCGTTGGAGAATGCGTAGCACATCAGGGTGCATCCACACATTATTAAAGGTCAAATGACTTTAAAGCAGTGCAATCATTTTGAAATTTGTATCATTTACTTATTATGCTTCATTAAGTACTTATACAAAATTTTATTAAAATAAAACCATTTAAACTGGGTGTTCGGATTTATATGTCACTTAGTATATTTTTACTTCCAACGCCTACTGAAGGGGACGTTTCCAGATGCACTACAGGCGGGGCAGGGAAATAACGGACCTATTTGACTGACTTTTAGACTAATCTCTAATCATATTAGCAAATTTCTCCGAAATGATTGTAAAGTTTGGTTTTATTAGCGCAAGTTGTTCAGTGGGGTATTTAAAACACTCACAAATACGAAATGTTTGAATTTGTTTAAAAGAAAAAACGTAACCCATCCTTTTTTGCATAAAAATAACATTTATTCATTTTTTAAATACCCCCTTGAACAATTTGCACCAATAAAATCAGACGTTACAATTAGATATTTCGTCTAATATGATTAGACTACTTTTCTGGTGCAGAGTACATCAACCAGGACCTAGTAATACTAAATTAATGTCATCTTTTAAGCTGATATCAAACAGAAATTTTCCATTCATTCGGCCAGAGTGATTCACATGTAGACAAAGAAACGTGCTAAAAGCCGCATGAAATGCGTTTTGCAACTTAAAACAATGACACATAATTCAGATAATTTTAATAAGCAAGCAACCATACAAAACGCGATAATGGATAGCAGATATTCAAAGAATGACAGATGGCTCACGCACAAATTGTTTAAGTGGAAATTTTGATAAAAATAATGTTTTCTATTATTTGAAATGCCGAAATAGTTTTTTTAGCGGTAGAGAGGCAACGGGCTAACAAACGTTACATTTATGGCTTAGATAAAAAACGTATTATTACTTTTATCCGGTCTCAAAACGTCTCACTTTATGATAAAAGTTGGCCCCCGAGATCGTGCGATTTAACACCTCTTGACTATTTTCTTTGGGGATTTTTGAGAGGAAAAGTGTATGCGAATTGTCCCCGGACAATTCAAGACCTGAAGCGCAATATTCGGACTGAAATTGCGGCCATAGACCCGATTATTCTGGGAAAAGTCATTGAAAATTTTGATGTTCGGATGTTGGCCTGTAACCAAAGCCGCGGTGGTCACATGACTATGTTATTTTTCATACATAAATGGCATAAACCAACCTTCATGTATCAATAAAAAATTCGATTTCACCTCGTAAAAAGCGTGAGTATTTTTCAAATAGAAAAAAAGTAATAGATGACGCACCCTGTATATGGAGAAACATGTATATACGAGTACATTGAAAATGTCCTCAAATGGTGAATAGAGTGCTCTAACCAGTATGTGTGGGAAGTAAAAACAATCGCAGATATTGCCCAGTTCATAACTATCCAAAAATCGACCTTGTTCTGGGAAAAGAATGTATACTAAGTGACATATAAATCCGAACACCCAGTTTAAATGGTTTTATTTTAATAAAAGTTGGTTACGATGCCTAGAGTACGGAGACCTGTACGATTTCGTCAACTTAGTGAGTTTGATAGGGGCCGTATAGTGGGACTTCGGGAAGCTGGACTTTCTTTTCGGGCAATTGCAGTTAGAGTGCAAAGAAGTGTAGACACTGTGGTTAGGTGTTGTCAGGCATGGCTTTGAGAAGGCCGTACGCAAAGAGCAAGGGGCACTGGACGCCGCCGTAGAACAACAGACCGTGAAGATCGCCGCCTAAGATTACTGGCCTTAAGGGACCGTTTCTCCAGTACCAGGTCCATTGCAAATGAATGGTTTGCAGAACACGGAAGACCTATTGGCATGCGAAGTGTTTACCGACGAATGAGAAGTTTTGGCTTGTTTTCATACCGGCTACACTGGGTCCTCCCTTTAACTCGAGAACACCGACGTAATCGCCTTGAGTGGTGCAGACAACGGTCACTCTGGGATCAGGAATGGAACAGCATTGTCTTTAGTGACGAGTCTCGATTTTGTTTAGGCATGCACGATGGTCGTGCCAGGGTTAGAAGGCGACGTGGTGAAAGGAGGAATCCACAGTTTTTTGTTGAAAGACATGTTCAACACACTGTTGGAGTTATGGTTTGGGGTGCTATAGCTTATGGTTCCAGGTCACCTTTAATCTTCATCAGAGGTAACATGAACGCGCAGCGTTATATTCACGAAGTTCTAGAACCCCATCTTTTACCCTATCTTGACACCCTGGCAGATCCAACTTTCCAACAAGATAATGCCCGACCACATGTTGCAAGAGTCACAATAGACTTCTTTCAACATAATGATGTCACATTGTTACCATGGCCACCAAGATCTCCCGACTTATCCCCAATTAAGCACGTGTGGGATATGATGGGTAGAAGATTGCTCAATTTGCAACGTCCTCCTCAGACTCTAGAAGCACTTCGAGAGGAGTTGGTGGTTGCCTGGAATGAGATACCACAGGAGGACATTGACCACCTGATCAGAAGCATGCCTAGGCGCGTTGGAGAATGCGTAGCACATCAGGATGCATCCACACATTATTAAAGGTCAAAGGGCTTTAAAGCAGTGCAATCATTTTAAAATTTTTATCATTTACTTATTATGCTTCATTAAGTACTTATACAAAATTTTATTAAAATAAAACCATTTAAACTGGGTGTTCGGAATTATATGTCACTTAGTATAATCATTTGTTTTACAGCGAAATTATATTCTTAACGGAATATGCAGAAGATGCAGAAAATTTTGCTATACGTCAAAGTTGGAAGAATCACCTTTTCGCGTATATTCAAATAGTTGTGAAAGGATGTGGTTCAATAAAAATGAAGGGGATGAAAATTCCTTCAAAATGAGACCTTACACGAACAATTTGCTGTTAGGGTTTATTTGTTATTAAAAAAAAATCGTCGATTCCTACATTTTTTCCGGAAAATTCATAACGGTAATTCTGGAATAATAAGGAAACGCGAATGCCTTTGTGGTACTCAACATAAAAAAAAACATTTATTCACACATGCTCAAAGGTTTCTGCAAATATCTGTTACTGATTTCTTTGGAAAAAATGAGTTTTTTTTGTGAAGAATTGTCCAGCGGTTCTGGAACAATTAAAAGGATTGTTGGACTCTTTCTTTTGCTAGAAACTTGGTATCCTTTCTAAAAAGCGTCGACAAGAGTATATCTATAAACAATTAGAATAAGTCCGTTGTTTTTTGACAGTCTTATTATGATGCTCACCACTGAAATGCGGATGAAACACACTTTGACGAAAAAGGAACCTTTTTGAACCACTGGAGACCGAAATAACTCATTACAATGTTTTTACCCAAATTCTAGATATCATGATCTTAGAGCTGTATCGTCAGTCGTTCTTCTGGCCTCCTTGATTATCATAGTCTTTTTTCTCCTTCAGAAATGCCGGGATATTTCTAGATTTCTACTGTTCCATGTCAGCGCTCCCATATTGTGAGGTTATGTTTTCGTTTTGAACTGAAATTTATTACGAATTAACTGTGGAAAAGCATGAAGAATTTGATGCAAATAGACATTTGTAACATAACCTCAAAATAGAACGCTGACACGGAACAGCAGAAATCTAGAGATACCTCTGCGTTTCTGAAGGACGTGAGAGACTAGGAAAATCAAGAAGGCCATGATGGCGTTCTACAACGGACTGACGATACGGCCCTTAGTCGCGTGTCGGTCGGTGGACGTTAAAACGCAGATAGGCGATCACATAATAAGATTCAGAACTTTTGTTGGACCATATGAATCTTCAAGTTATCGCATGCCATTAAAAGAAAATAATATTTAGTTAAAGTATATATAAAAAATAGGCATAGGCTATAAAAATTAGGCATGGGAAGACGCCGTGAGACATCTAAAACTGTCATTATGGTTAATTTGGAATTTTTTAAGCACAGCTGTCGACTGAAATAAATATACAGCCCGGTTGCTAGGCGGAACGGAACCGGGCTTGGCAGATTTGTATATTTTATGACTGAAAAAAAAAACTTTTTATCGTTATCCGTTTCAGAAGGTTCACGAAAAGGTGGATTCGCTGTATCGCAGATAGCAGGTTTGTTGCGTATCGTATAAACACACACTGGATGTTTTGAAGTTTGTGTTGATTTTACGTGATTATATAAGTGAAATCGGCTCTGGGTCGGCACGTTCGACACTGGGTTGTTATAAAAACGTCAAAGAATCTATCTAAACACAAATTTTGTTTTCGTAATTTGAAGAGTTGCTCGAGATTTTCATAGCGAGACATTGAAATCCCAAATACCCTTGTCCTAAACATTAAAATTGCCAAAACTGGAGAGGAGAGGAAGTATTGTAATCGCAAAAGGATTAAGAAACTAGAAAAAATATTAATATATATATATATATAAACAACAATTAGCAACATCCTCACATACTACTGTAAGTTGATTCAATTTAGATTCATTTTACACTTTTGTTGCTACTGTTATCATTGTAATTGCAGCTCCTGATGATGATGGCAAAGTCCATTGAAAGCTAGAGAGAATTAAAAAAGTATAAAGAGTCCTCTTTGCTTAAATTTTGTCGAAGTACCCAACAAAAGGCGGAAGCTTTAATTTTTCACTTATATGTATATATATAGGCGAAAAATAAAGCTTCCGCCTTTTGTTGTGTACTTCGACAAGATTCAAGCAAAGAGGACTCTTTATAGTTACTTTATTAATCTCTAGCTTTCAATGGACTTTGTCATCTTCATCAGGAGCTGCAATAACATTGAGAAGAAATAGCAACTATTGTGCAAAATGATTTTGAAATAACTTACAGTAGTATGTGAGGTTGTTGCTCAATGTTATTAACGTTTTGGTTGAGGGATACACCCAGTAACCTGACGAATGCTGGATACATGGAACATTTGTCAAAATTAATATAAACTACACACAGCTGTATGTCAGGAACAAATTGAAATGGATTAAAGGTATTTAAAAACATGATGTAATTTTAACTTTCGTTGTACCATGTATCCAGCATTCGCCAGGTTACTGGGTGTATACCTCAACCAGAACGTTGATAACAAAACGTTAATAACATTTAGCAACAACCTCACATACTACTGTAAGTTAATTCAAAATCATATTGCACAATAGTTGCAATTTCTTCTCAATGTTATTGCAGCTCATGATGAAGACGGCAAAGTCCATTGAAAGCTAGAGATTAATAACGTATAAAGAATCCTCTTTGCTTGAATCTTGTCGATGTACCCAACAAAAGGCGGAAGCTTTATTTTTCACCTAACTGGTCTTAACGACAATGCCCACGTCTCAAGTTATATATATATATACATATATATACAGGGTGACTTCGAAGTTGAGTCATTTATTTTAACAGTGAGTAGATCTGAACAAAAGAAATGTTTTTTTCCTTTACCATTTTTCTGGTAAAATTAAAGTAACAAAGTTATAGCCCTTTGGAAGTTTGAGTACCGCCCTGTCTCAATAATAATATTACGTGCTCGTGTTTGGCAACAACGGATATAATCCGCCTTATCGGTTCATCGCATCGGAAACAAAAAAGCGAAAGAATTTGGAACGATGTTTTTACAATTATTTCATTCAGTTGTATACAGTCAGTGTCAGTCGGTAACGCGTGAGTGAATAGTGGTGTCTGTTGCGTGGCTCAAACGAAATAAAAAATGACACATGTTTATGCGGATCGGTTTCCCAATCGAGTGCAACCAACCCCTCGTGCCTTTGTTAATGTAGTACAACGGGTTCGTGAATCATTTGACTTAAGACCTCACATATAGACGGCATGCCGGTGCTCCAAGACCTCACGATCAAATACAGGTCCGCACTGAAATACTTGTCGGGAGGATACTTTATAAAACAAGGTAAATTTTTTTTTTATTTTTACACACATATTTTGGTTTATCTTCCTTCTACAATCATTATCTGAAAATTAATGACTCAACTTCAAAGTATATAACGTAAGACGTTATTACAGTCAGAAAAAAAGCTAAATCCCATCACTAACATTTAAATGTTTTTCCGCTAACGTTGAAATGCAACGTTTGGTATTTTCCTCGGTAAAAACCCCCGACTAAGCACGAAACATAACGAAATGTTGACGGTATTTCCCTGCAGGCTCAGCATTTTTCTTCAAATGAAGCCATAAAAATATTGCGAGAATCTTTAGCATCATTTTAATGAACCGTACCCATAAAAATCCGACTGGCCTGTGCTGGTAATGGCCTTTGAAAAAAAAAATAACGACCAGTTTTATCTGACCGGATAGGAGAGGGGGAGGAGTTTCCAACGGCGAAGCGGTCCTATCATTATCATTAAACGGAACTGCCGAAATGGCAATAAAAATGGTCGTATTTTTCGCCGAAAAACGACAGGCAACCCTTTAATTCCCAAATAATCTGTGTCGCCATATCTAGAAGGCTTTTACGCCACGTAACTGCTAAAATGATATACGAGATTTCAATGTTGCGGCAAAAGATCTCAAGAAAACCGGGAAATTGTGGAAATAAACCATCCAAATATTGTGAAATATCATGCTTCATTTTGAACATATGATTAGATAAGGTAACCATTTATGAACAATACTCGTATGCTTGAAAATAAATATATATATATATTTATATTATTATAATTTTTAATCTGTTTTTAACTTGTTCTTGTCATATTTTATATAATTTTGACCAGTGTACCATCCAGCTCTCACCATGTTACTGGACGTTTCCCTCGTCCTATACGTAAACAACAATTAGCAACATCCTCACATACTACTGTAAGTTGAGTCAATTTAAATTCATTTTACACTTTTGTTGCTACTGTTATCATTGTAATTGCAGCTCCTGATGATGATGGCAAAGTCCATTGAAAGCTAGAGAGAATTAAAAAAAGTATAAAGAGTCCTCTTTGCTTAAATTTTGTCGAAGTACCCAACACAAGGCGGAAGCTTTAATTTTTCACCTAACTGGTCTAGACGACAATGACCACGTCTCAAGTTATATATATATAGAGAGAGAGAGAGAAAATGATCATGCGGAGAAAGGTATATAACAAAAAGTAGGAAAATAATGGGCAAAATCCGCAAAAAGGAGGGCCTGATGAAGCCAACCAGCAATAAATACGTATCGCTCGGGTTATCTATCCTATTTTCTGCTCGAATCCGCTTTCCTCCTTTTTGCGGATTTTGCCCATTAATTTCATACTTTTTTACATATATACATAAACTAAGGAATGGACGAAAAGTTTGCTATTCTGTCTGAAAAAATGGACAGTTTTTCGGACAAAATATCGCTTAGCTTCAGAAGTAGCGATCGAAATCCTACTATGTATATCAAACTTCTTTATCCCAAGTGGGCTTTCAGAATATATTAGAATATGCATTTAAAAAAAATGTATATTTATGCTGCCACATAGTTATAAATCACCGTGTAGGGAGCGGGAGATTTTCCATGTAAATAATTTTTGTGGGTAACTTGTTTAGCTATCTTTCATACTAACAATGCAACTCGCACTTAAACTTCACCATGTATTATATTTTTTTTAGAATTTGAAATTAACACTTTAACAGTATATCCGGTTAGGGACATTTAGGATCGATGTCTACAGAAACTTTCTTTATTATTTTTAACTATTTTTCCAAGTATCACCCCTGTGTTGATCACCGTCTTTTTTACAGTAAAGCAGGTACTCCACTTGCAGTTTTACTCGAAAGAGGATCAACCGCTTCAGAAACGCCCCTGCATGCACACGCCAGCTGGGGTTATTTTTTATTTTCTTTGTATGTTGGCTGCCGTGACCTGCCGCCAACAGCGGTTTATTTGTATTTCTGGAATATTGTATATTTGCCCATAGTTTCCCTCTTTCTTCTGTCACCTACCACCATATGTCGAACACAAACCATCAACGTTACAAGTATTTTCATACGAGTTGCAAAATTGAAAGATTTCAAGCAAAAATTAACGCAGAATGATATCGAAAGCACAGTGACTTGTAAAGGAAGCCTCAATTAACAGTTTAACCATCTTTATGTATGAATATTCGAGGGTAAGCATAAAAAAATGCGCCAGCAGGAGTTTTTCTCAGGCGTAAGAGAAGTTTTTGTGAATATGTACCTGCCTCTAAAACTCGAAATCCTAAAAAAACTCTTGAAACTGTACACAAAACAATGTTAAATAAGCGAATTTTAAGGTCCAATCGGCCTCCCCTGCGTCCGCTCATGCATCAATTTCGTCAGCGTTCGAAATCCTGGGAGACGTAAAAGTTTACCGTACCTACGCTACTGTTATTGCCTTCTCTATTTTCTCGTTTATTCGCGGAACACAAACAAACTGTTATGGACAGAATAAGAATTCGCCTTTAGCGTATATTTGAGTATACGGTTTCAGATTTTCCACACCAGAACAGTTGCTCGTTCTCCCGAAAAAGGGCGTAAGTACAAAAGATGATGGAGAAATACCCTAGTAAGCCATTTTCATTTATATGTATGCGGTGCGTATATTTTAGGAAACGCCCACACCTCGGCTACGTATAATTATCAAGTTTCAAACGTCCAAACATCCAATACAGGGTGCCCCATAAGTCCTTTGAAATTTCAAATTTGAATAAAATTTAACGGGTGAGCGTGAGCGGCGCGGGCGAGGTGGGGGCAGTATCTTCAGTGTCTGGGAATTCAGTCGCCATGGAGTGTTTCACTGGAGCGGATCGTGCTTTTTGTGTGCGCGCGTTTTATCAAAATAATGATTCGGCAACCATTGCGCGGCGTAAATATCGAGAATACCACAATTTACACAATTTTACAAAGTGTCCAACAGCTCAAACGATTAAGAACTGGGTTGCTAAGTTCGAAGAGACTGGTTCGACGTTAGATAAACAGCGGTGGGGTCGACCAAGGACAACTCGTATTGAAGAAAACATCAACATTGTGGCACAGTCTGTTCGTCAAAATCTTACCCAGTCTACTCGTAAGCGTTCCAGTGCACTAAACGTACCCAGAACATCTTTACAGCGGATTTTAAGGAAAGATTTACGTTTGCACGCTTACAAAATTCAGTTAGTGCAGGAATTAAAAGATAATGACGCTATTCAGAGACTAAACTTTGCGAATGAAATGTTGAATCGATTTTCTTCGCTCAATAATGTGTTGTTCTCGGACGAGGCTCACTTCCATTCAAACGGGCATGTAAATAAACAAAATTGCCGTTATTGGAGCCCCGAAAATCCAAGGCGTAAGCATCAGAAGCCCTTACACAGCCCTAAAGTTACAGTTTGGGCTGCTATGTCAGCGCATGGCATCGTAGGCCCTTATTTTTTTGAGGACGACAGAGGTCGCGCATTAACTGTTACTTCGGAGCGGTATGTAGCAATGATAGAAGAGTTTTTGACACCAGCGTTGCAGAATTTTCCAGGCTATAATACGCAGACCTGGTTTCAACAGGACGGAGCAACTGCCCACACCTCCAACACTTCTATGCCCGTCGTCTGTCAACTTTTTCCCAGCAATTTCTCGAAGAGGAGACATTTCCTGGCCACCACGTAGTCCAGATTTGACCCCAATGGACTTCTTTTTATGGGGCTACCTCAAGAGTAAAGTGTACGACACCACTCCGCGATCAGTTGATGTCCTGAAAGAAAATATCCGAAGAGAAATGGCAAGCATTACAGTGTTGACTTGCCGCGCAGTCATCGACAATTTTAGACGTCGTTTATATGAGTGCCGTGATCGTAATGGATTGCATTTAGACGATGTGATTTTCAAAACATAATTCCCATTCAATAAAGATGATAACAAAATATAATAATTCTTCATGATGTAACTAGTTTGGTTTTATTCCTTTTTTTCCAGCTTAAAGGACTTATGGGCCACCCTGTATAATTCTTCGACGTTCGACAAAAGCCAATATAATTCATAGATCAGAAACGGCACCGCAAGATCTAATTTCTGACCTTGACGGTTCATTTGACCTTCAGATAGCAAAAACGTTTCTTAGCGTTTAGTTATCGGAGTCTTTCTATATGATTTCAAGTAATCCGGTCATATCCGACACTTGGGAACGAGAAATTATTAATGATAAAAAAACAATGCATTCCTTACCTTTGCCAGCCTCATCGCGGTGACCCAACAGCTGCGCACCCGTTCCGAATCGCATGCGAGGCACCGTAACTGTTCCGCTTCGCCTCCTCCGCCCCCTTTATCCGTCGTCCTGCCTCCACCCTCTCCCGCCCCTTCTAACTCCGCCCCTGAAGCGGCCCCGCCCCCTTCCAGGCGCCGCCTCTCTTGCTCTGCTCCGCCCGCCGTGCTGCCAATCAAAGGCTCCGCCTCCGGCCTCAAGACCACGCCCCACTCGCTGGGCGCGCGCAGTTGGTTCTTCGCGTTCAGAGCCGCGTACGCGTGGTAACGACGTACGTCGCACAGCAGACGGACGTCTTGCAACAGACGTTTGTCTTCTGAGATCTGGAACAAAATTGCAACGATCAGAAAACGTCTTCGAATGGACTGTATCGTTCCAATCTTGCAATACATTGCCAATAAGTCCAAGTAGGGATCAGAAACCAGCGCCATCTCTGACACATTTCAAAATCAATTTGAACAAAATATTGTTTATTCAGGTTAATTTTGCGTGACAGTATGTTTTTCTACAACTTCTTGTACAGCAAACAGAAAATAAAGCTGAATCTGAAAATGATATCGTTTGACAAAAATCTTGCCTTTACCTCGATGCTCAGGTCTTACCGTTGTTTGCTGATGATGTAAGTGTTTGCTCGTATACAATATGTTCATTTTAAAATGCACTGCCGGAAATAAACATTGCAGTATATGTAATATATGTACGTATATATGCATAATAATAAACAGCTCGAGTATGCATTTCTACCTGCTGCGCTGTAACTGTAATTGAAACTAAAGGTATCCGATTTTTACAACATTTCAAACGGTCGGCAAGTGTACAGCATGTCTACGATTCAAGGATTTGTACAGGCATATAAAAAACATGATGCCTACATACAGTAATGAACAAAAGTATATAGACAAATTAATATTGAGCTGTATTTCTTTTTTAACTTGTTTTATTGATACACCAACCTGTATACACTATTTGTCCGGTAATTCGACAAACATTATGCAGGGCAGTGTCGGACTATCGAATTTGTCGGATTATAGAGCACTGCCTAAGTCCGGAATTTTTTACAAAAGAGTACCTTGTTATCCGATAAATTACATATCCAATGGTAATATATGTTATGTATATGTGTGTACTTTGAAGAACAAATCATACATAGTTTATGTATCTCGAATTTAGTAAATTAAATAACAATAGAGAGATTACGTTTTATTATAAAATTAAGCATAAATGCACATACATATGTACCAAAATAATCAAGAATTATTAATCAAAATCATTAATGAATTGATCAAATTATGAAGCTTGCAAATATTCATCAATTTTTTGTTTGTTTAAGGTTGTTATAACGCGAGATCAGAGCTTTGTCCCTCAGTCTTCTCAAAAGTAAAGGTTCGTTGTAGGATGTATACTTTATCTGAAGTCACTTGAAACACTGTGAAATACCGGGTGCGTTTTATATATCTATATTTAACACGCTCTGTTGCTGCAAAAATCGCCAAATTTCGCAGCAAGATCACAGGCAGTTTCACCGGTCCACGTGGAGTAAAGCACGCCTATGCGTGGACATAGCCAATGAGTAAGCGTGTATTTCAGAGCTCCGAACAAGTGCAGGTGGCTACTGAAAATTGAAACAGTTTAGCCAGTGCCGTGTAGCGGTGACTAAACGTGTTTTCTTTAGTCTGTTCGTGTTTTTTCATAGATTTTATTAGTTTGTGTGTTTTTGACTTTTGAATACTCAGTTTACTTGTTGATTTAATTGTTGTGTTGATTGTTCTTGTGTGTCCTAAATATGGCTCTTTGGAGACCTTGGGAAAATGCTCCAAGCCACGAGGAGATGGTTGATGAACCTGTGCAGGCAGAATTCTTTCATAAAGATTTAGAGGAACAGACCCAAAGAGTAATCCTAAATATGTATGATTGTCTGAAAAACGAAAATCCAGATTCCTCGCTAAATCAAATTTTAAACAGAATTTGTATCCTGACAAAAATCAGTCGGTCTACCATTTATCGGGTTATAAAAAGGGGAGATGTAGTCAACCATTCCTTCCACAGAAAGCGCATAGGGCAAAAATTAAAAAGAATAGACGTGGGTTTTCAGGAAGATATTCGTCGTATAATATACGGATTTTATAAAGAAAATTTGGTGCCCACGTTGGAAATGATACGGGATAAATTAAAAGATTATCCTGAAGATTTTTATAATTACAAATGCTTAGACTCACTGCACTGTATTGTAAAACTGTGTGGTTTTCAATACAAAAAATTAGATAAAAGAATGGTGATTATGGAGTCGTCTCGAATCGTTGAATTGCGCCAAGAATTTTTGCACAAAGTTAAAATCTATAGAGAGCAGAAAAGAAAGCTGATTTACCTGGATGAAACGTGGTATGATACCCATGATGTTGTGCAGTACGGCTGGGTTGACGACAGCAACAAGTGCAAATTTAAATGCACCATGTAACACTGGAAAACGAATCATTATTCTCTATGCTGGCAGTGAAAATGGATTTATACCTAATGCCTCGCTGTTATCTGCCAAAAATATCAAAGAATCATGTGCCGACTATCATGAGGACATGACCTCCGACTTATTTGAAAAGTGGATAGAGCAGCAGTTAATACCAAACATTTCCCCAAATTCAGTGATTATTATGGACAATGCGCCATACCATTCCCGACAGAAAAACAAAATTCCGAATACAGGCACAAAAAACAAGACATTATTGATCTTATGAAGGATAAGGGAATGGAAATACCACAAAAATCAACCAAAGCCATATTATTGGATCTTATTAAAAGACAAAAATTTGAAAAAGAGTATGTTGTTGACAATCTGCTTCAGCAAAATGGCCATGAAGTATTACGTCTACCTCCCTATTACTGCATTTTTAACCCGATTGAGTTGGTCTGGGCTGCTTTAAAAAAAAAGTAAGAAAACATAATCAGACCCCTCAATTAAGTGAATCGCTATTGGCCACAATAAGAGATGCAGTATCTCATATTGCTGCCACAGACCTATGGAAGCAGTGTTCTAGGCATATTATTGAAAAAGAAAATGAATATTGTGTTTTGCCTCCTGTAAATCCCGTTGTAATTCCTCTACAAGATGACTCTAGCGACAGCTCCGAAGGCGAGGACGATATATAAATACCTATAATGTAAGTCTTTATATACCTTTTTATATACCTACCTGCTATGTAAATACTTGCCTATGTCAAACGTTGGAATTCTGTAATTTTTCCATTTCTTAACTTTCAGTCAACATAAATTAAACTCCCAATATAAGTATTTTTTATCCCAAATCAAAAAAATAAGAAGATACTATAATCCATTTATTGTGATATAAAAACATTATTATTATCGTTCTAAATAAATGACCGCACGCCTATGATACGTCATGAAATTACAAAGGACGCACCGACCAAAGGTTTTTATGCTATTTCAAGTGACTTCAGATAAAGCATACCATTCTCTTCAGCCCATTGTAAACCTAGCTCAAAGGCGTTAATTGCGTCTTGTGCTGTGACTTGTGGAGCAGTTGCAATCACGTCGTCGTTATTTTCCTGATTGTTTGTTGTATAATTAGAAACCTCTTTTATAATCTCTTCGTCAGACATTTCATGAAAAACATTTTCCTCTTTATCCATTCCACGGCACCAGATTTCCAAATCTTCCGGACTTATCTGTGTTTCAGTAGCGACTTGTTCTATAACTTCCGAAGTAACACTGATTTGTGGAACGTTGCTAGGAGTGGTGACTATATCTGGCCATAACTTTTTCCAAGACGATTTAATAGTTGATGACGGTAACGCATTCCACGACTGACAAAGAGCAAAAACCAAGTCTTTCATACTAAATTCGTTTAAAGCTTTTTCTATTGGTTGGTCTCAGAAGTAGGTTTTTCTTGTAGTCTTGCTTGACAAACTGAATGATATTCTGGTCCATTGGTTGAATCAGTGCAGTTCAATTTGGCGGAAGAAACATCTCAGTGATGCATTTATCCTCAGTTGTTAGTTCTTCTTCAGACGGATGACCGGGAGCGTCATCAAGAAGCAACACTTTTTGAAAAGGTCTTTTGTCATCCATGCACTTTTTTGTCCATAATAGTGTACAGGTAAATCAATGTTTTTGAATGCCCGTGGTTTATTAGATTCCCCAATGATCTTCATCTTAAGCGCGTGTGTGCCCGCATGGTAGTACGCTCTTTACTTACTTTTCGTCCAGGTACGGATTTTTCGTTACAAGAAACGAAAGTTTTGTTAGGCAACACACGCCAAAAAAGCCCTGATTCGTCTGCATTGTACACCTGTGACGGGTCAAGATTTAAATCGTTCACATTTTGCAAACATCTTAATTTAAAGGGCTCCATGCAGGTGGCATCGTTAGAAAGTTTATCTCCTGTAATAGTCATTAAACGTATGCCATGACGACTTTTAAAACGTTCTAGCCATCCTTTGCAGGCCACAAAATCATCTTTTTTTGTTATTTCCTTATAAAAAAACTTAGCTTCGGGTCATTATCTTGCTGGAAGATTGATCTTAAGGGCATATTGTCTTCCATATAGGGTAACATGCTTTAGTATGTCTGTGTATACAAACTTATCCATAATGCCATCTATTCTTTGTAAAGGCCCCATCCCAAACCCCGAAAAGCACCCCCAAACCATAACAGACCCGCCTCCATGTTTGACAGTGGGCAAAGTGTACCTACTTGGGGTTCAATCTTTGTCCACTAGGACATCTAACGTAATGAGCACCAACTGATCCAAACGTTTTGAACTTGGATTCGTCACTGAAACATACCCTCTTCCAGTCACAGATGCTCCAATCAAGATGCAACCGTGCAAATTACGGTTTTTCCTCGAGATTAGCGGCTTCTTACTCCGGCGACGCGACGTGCAAATAACTTCAGATCATTTAATCTTCTACTTATAGTTTTCGTAGAAACACTGACAATTCCTTTTGTCTCGATTTCGGCTTTTATTTGTCTTGGGGTTTTAAACGGAGCTTTGGACGAAATTACTTTTATTAATCTAACTAATCTAGCATTTAGTTTTCTAGACCGACCACTTCTCTTAGAGGCTTCCAAGATACCTTTTTGTTTATATTTGTTCAATATTGCCCAAACTGCTTTACGCTTCAGCTTCAAATTTTTGGCAATGTCGACTTGACGTTGACCATCTTTGTATAACTCAATTATCCTAGTTCTCACATCGAAAGAAATTTCTGGACCACGCGGCATGGTCTTAAAACCACTCAACTTATTCCACAATACTCGATTAACACAGACTAATCCTCGTCTGACACGAAACTGTACTAAACTAATGTTG